TCCTGGATCCATCCATCCAGTATCCATCTGTCCGTTTATTCATCCATCCGATAGCCATCCATCCACCTCACTCTATGCGTGCCTTGCCAATTTTGTTGTTGCTGTGCCACCCCTCACATCAATGGACATAGTTTTGAAAGGGTATGCCTGGTGCCACACTGTAATTCAACAGCGAACACCAACCAACCATGTGACAACGTACCTAATAAGGAAATATGCTGAGCATAGAACAGAATTAAAAGACTTTCACAACCAAGGCACTTACAAATGAATACGCCATGTTGGCCACGTCTTCGAGAAATCATCAATCACTGACAATCTTTGGTCATGACAACAACCCAAGTCGCATTGGCAAGTCGTCAGACCTCCAAATTAAGCCGTAGGTAAGCACTTGGATGAACTCAAGTTGCAGGTAATTCTGTGTCCCAACGGAAGGCGACAGCGATCATTGGCAACGGCGGAAGTGACGGTCGATCCCGATTTCATTTCCACTCTCAACTTGCAGAGACGTGGAGCAGGTATCGTCCTGCTTCCTTATTCACTTCCTCACGTCGGTGCATGGAGGTCAGAATGTCAGCACGTGGTGGTGCACTCGTTCACTGCTTGGCAGTGCGCAGCTCGTCCCACGGCAGCCGCATATCCATATCCACTGCCGACACTGCACGCTCGCAGTCGACGATCTCCTGCAAGAGGTGATCTTCGATGCCACATACATCCGTTGGGCAGACACTTACACAAACTACATTGCAAACTCTTTTTAGACCACACCTACGTGAGCCACATCAACTGCTCAGAGGGCACGAGAGGAGGAATATCCAGAGGTACATAACAGCGGCACGCCTCTTCCGCAATGTGTGGTCACAATTAGGGTGGAATTCTGAGGATCCCACACACCAATCTGAGAGAAATTCACCCAAGCTGAGGGAAGCCATTCCACTTCTTCAAATATCAACCCATCCCCTTTATTCTTAACCAACATTTGTTGGCGAATGTGCACGGATCCTCCAATGTCAATGGTTTCCACAACTCGATTGAAGCTACTCCAGTCCCGGTATAAATCATTCAGCATTGCGTAAATTCAAAGCAAGGCGAATAGCAAGAGTGGATTGGCATGGGATCCTGCTCATGCCACCTTGAATTACAGCACACCCGACATGTCTCCACCCCTCCTGTGGTACACCCAAACATTGCGGTAATAACACTGATAGACCGTGAAATCACTACGCCACCTTGCAACTACTCCAAGCTCGACTTCTGCATAAGCATCGCCAACGGAACCACTTCGGACAGGTCTCATAGTTGCACCTCCGCGTATCCAATTCCATGTTTTACTTGCAACTGGCAGTGACCCAAATCGACGGCTAAAACAGAACAGAGGCAGGGCGAACGGGCACCATCAGGAACGGCGCTTCAAATTACAAACATGAGTAACAGTCCAAGACAATACACCTTCCCATGTCGCAAGCATCTCTTAGTTATTGCGCTTACCGCCTTCGCTGCAGTCGTCCATTTCTCCGTACATTCCACCACGCACCAAACACTAAGCAACCGGCAATGCAACATCATAACCGTCACCACCACGCCAACCGACTTGGTGGATCGTGTTACCCTAAATGCAGCATGCAGAGCTTGCAGGGAAACTCCTCCGCCTCTACTTCACCCCAACAACTTCAGCAAGACTTCCCACTTCACAAAATGCACACATTTGGAAGAGCCACGCCTGCCTTCCTCCTGCCACACACAGCCCTCTGCTGCATTTCAATGACACCCATTTCAGCGCCTAACTAATCAACAGGAAAGCAATTGTTGAGGTGTCACAACCACCGCATTGCAGACTGCTTCACTTCTTCGGCAATGATAGCAGTCTGTGCCACGTACTTCCAAATGCGCCTTTAACATTCGTCGCATTGTTGGGACAGAAAAGCGGTGAAACTAAGACTCATGGCCATTGTTCGAAAGAGGTGTGTGAAATTGTGGCGTTAAGCGGACGCGCCTCTTGGTCCGCAACTGCTGTGACTTAATGAAAAGGCACGAGTGGAGGTCGCTTCGGTGCAGCCCAAAGCCGTGGATTGAGGAGCCCACAATGAAGACCTTCGAGTGCACACGCAGGTGGTGCTGCCCTATTGTGCCCTCGCCAGGTGGATTGACCTTCCAACCCTACCAGAAGTGGGCAATACTTGTGCTTTTCCAATGTTCCTTTGGAGAGGAGAGGCGAGGAGACGAATCGGACCTCGCGACTGTGGAGCAGTCAACATCCCACAACCCGGAGAAAAGCTCCGTGTCCACGCCTCCATAACCTTGTGCCAAATCACCCATCTACTTTGAGAAATAAGCATGGCGAAACCAAATCAGTCTGCGTGTTTAAAGGGTATGAGGGCCAGAGAAGAGGAGATCTGGGAGCCTCATCCTACCAGTAGTGTCAAGCCCTACTGCACGTGGACAAAACACATTGCCTAAGCGATATGTCCACTTCTGTCTGCAAGAAGGGCCCGGGGAGCTGCAAAGGGATTGAAACCTAATGAGGCGCCTCTGGTTACCCTACATTGTTCGACGATTAAAATCTTTCTGCAAAACATCAGCCCTCCGCTTCAACAAGTGCATGGGGTAAGTAACCAGCCAACCAAACAAACACCTTGACCAATGCCACCTGTCAAACGATGAGTCAAACAAGAACACCAAACAACGATAGACGAACCACTTTCCGCAAATCATCCATCTCATGCCAGTGCTTGCATTTCCATAGTTGGTCTTCCCATGAGTGCAGGCAACCACAGATTTATTCAAGACTCGACTACGGCACATTTCGTTTCTGTCTACCAAAAAAGCAGAAGGAGAGAAAGTGCAGCAAGAATTACATGAGCAAGCAACCATCGTCTTTGTTCTCATTGAGGCGATCCTCTTGCGAAGTTGAGAATGATGACAACGACGGCTCCCAGAGAGACTCCAGGGGTTTCTGCGCTCGCAAAACTTCAACTGTGCGACTGAAAGCAAGGCGAATTCCTCCAAACACTGCCTCATTACTGACGGTGTGGGCAACGTTGTCTTTGACAAAGGGCTCTGCATTGGAAAAAAACAGGAGGCAAAAAAGCATTTGCTTCCAATCTAATCACCATCATTCGAAAGCCCGACAACTGTCCCAATTTCCTCCTCCAATCACAAGTCTCAATGCTGCAGATGAACCAACTGTCCAGACACGCTCCATTGGGGCCACCAAAGCACTGTCAATCTTTGACGACCTCCCTAAATGCAGCACGGCCACCAGTAGTAAAGCTGACTCCCAATCACCTAACTACAAGCTCATCAACAGGAATCCAGGAAACCAAACAAAAAAGGCGGCAAGCACCACAACTGGCAACGTCGACATCAGTCCTCTCTCAGTACACTCCTCCCTAATCTGTCAATTGTCTCATTTCACAGGAGGACTTGTCACTATCGAAGAAGAGAGAGCATCAACCAGCGGTCAACAGGAAAAGCAACGACTACGTCCAAAAGGCGACCACGTAGCGAAACGACAGTTGGTAATAACCACAACGACATGGACGTCTATGTGCTGCATCAACCTGCCACCTCTTCCACCTTTGCCAACAACATCAACAGCAACAGCAATAGCAACAATAGCAAAACCAACAACAAACCTAACAACAATAACTACTGTGAAACAAAGCCACGTCCAGACACCTTGCATGAGGCCACCCATTCTCATGGCCTTCCATTCTACTCCCCATGTACGTTCAAGTCAAAAGAAGCTTGCCTTACCACGTCCTTAGAAGCACACCAGACACAAGTCCACTTCCAAATCTGAGCATCAAATCATTACCAAAAATGCAATTCGGGCAGACCTCTGTCACAACCT